TGCGTGTTGCACGTTTGTATGCCACTGCCTGCCCCCGGAGGCGGGGAAGGCTGCCCGGCCCCCCTCTGCCGCGCGAGCTCGGGCGGGGCTCTCTGCGCCCCCGCCCCCCCGCGCGCTGCGCGGCGGCGCGAGAGGCCTTCCGCCGCCGACCGCGCGGAGCGGGCGCTGCGCCAGGCCGCGGAGCTGCGGTTCCGGGACCTGCACTCCATGTTCCAGGCCTCCCTCCCTCCTCGGCTCCCTCCTCCCTGCCTCCCTCCCTCCCTCCCTCCTCCTCCCTCCTCCCTCCTCCCTTCCTCCCTCCTCACTCCCTCCGTCCTCCTCCTCCTTCCTCCTTCCTCCCTCCTCCCTCCCTCCCTCCCTCCCTCCTCCCGCCTTCCTTCCTCCCTCCTCACTCCCTCCTCCGTCCCTCCTCCCTTCTCCCTCCTCCCTCCCGCCTCCCTCCCTACGCCAACCCCCTTCGGCGGCGAGCTTGGGGGGGGAACTCAGTTCGGTGCCTCCGATCCGATACGATTCGATTCCGATCTGGATTCCGGATTCCGATGCCGATTCGATTCGGTTTCGGATGCCGACCTGGATTGCGATATTTTTCGATTGAGGCCTACCAGCCTGCCGAGTCCCGCCGATTCGACTTTTTCCGACTCTGCTGCCAATCTCTGTCGAGCCGCTCCGCTTCGATCGCCAATCCGACTCATCGATTCGATTCTGGGCTCGCCTGCCCACTCGTCGGCGAGCTATTGGGGGGGAAATGCTCGGACGGTTTCGGACAGGTTCGCACCGCACGCGTTCGAAGACTGGTGTTGGTGGTATCCATCGGCGGCGCCTCGTCGCGGGGGGGGGGGGGGCAGATCGTCCCGAGTTGCCGCTGGAGGGCCGAGCGACGGCCCAAGTCGAGGCTCAAGAGACGGGGGCCAGTGCACACAGGGGTCAGCCAGAGCGCCGGGCCTTGCAGACTGCAGCGCCAGGGGTGCACTGACCCGGGCTTGGGTGCAGCATCCTGCGGGGAACCTGCAGGATTTTGCAGGATCCTGGAAGGCCTGACTCACTCGGGCCTGGACGTCTGGGCCCGTGTCAGTACATAGTGTTCATTTCGATGTATTCGAAAGTTCTCTGATCTGTCAGGGGGGGGGCCAAGATCCTTTCAGTTCTAATTGTTCTATCCTGGGCCTCTTCCTGGCCACCAGGGGGCCAGGAACACTTAGAAACGAGCACAGTAAGGAATGCGCACGATTGGAACTTAGCGACGTGTAGACCCCCGACCAAAAACCACGGGGTCACCACCACCATTCGGCGGCGAGCCCCGGGGGGAAGGGAGAGGAGGCAGGGCCTGTGCAGCAGGCGGCGGGGCTGCTCAGAAGTCCCCGCGCCTTCAGGGCGCCGGCTGCGGCCTCGCAGAAGCCGCCCAGCTCCAGCACCTCTTGCTTCTGCATGCCCATCTCGGGCCTCGCCTTGAATCACACTGGCAGCCATGTCCTCAGGCTTGGCATCGCTCGGGCGTGTGCGCTTCTTCCTCGGCGATGACCATCGAGGAGCATCCTGTATCATTTGGCGAAAAAAACACGCACGAAACAGAAAAACACAGGGAATGGACGTCCGAGCGATGGCCAGCAGGGCGAACCGAGTCAACCCCACCTCGTGCCAATTCAGCCCAAGCCGGCGTGCACAGCGCCTCAGGGTCGCTGCCTGGGCCTTCGGCCGCAGCGCTGCGCCAAGACTTTGCTGGGCCTCTGGGAGCACGGGGGATTGCGGAGCTGCTCGAAACGATACGAAGCCTGCCAGCAGTTTCTGTACATGTTGATCAGGGTTCGTCGTTGGTGCCCAACAGCGCCTGTCCAACAGCGACCGCTGCCGCTTTTGGGCATCGTGCCCATTCTACCCATTTCGGACGTGCCGATCGAAGGCTGCAGCTAGAAGGCTGGCCATGGGGGAATCAGGGATCGAAGGCTGCGTCCAGATATTGCCTCGTCGAGACGATTCTTCTTGCACCTGTTGGCTTTTCAGCGTGCACGAGCGGCGTTTCGTCGATAATCGTGCGCTGGCTTGCAGGAGCGTGCCTACGCGCCTCGTTGCAACCTATCTCCGGATTCGCGCTGCTGGCGGAGTTGCTTGTTCGTGTGATGCGCAGTTGTCGTCCTTGGCATTCGGCATGTCGGCCCTCAGCTGGCCCTCGACGACCCCGTTGCTCAGCCCTCGCCCCTCTCTGCTGACCGCGGGCGGCCAGAAGCACAGGGAAAACGCGGAAGAACGCACTTGGTCGGTGCCCGTTGTTCCTTCTGGTCCCTCTAGGGCTGATCGTCGGGCGCTCTTCGTGTACACAAGCGCAGGTGGAGCCAACACAAAGGGGTGCGTTCCTCCTCCTCCTCCTCCTCCTCCTCCTCCTCCTCCTCCTTTTCCTCCTCCTCCTGCTCCTCCTCCTCCTGCTCCTGCCCCTCCTTCACCTCCTCCTCCTCCTTTTTCTTTCTCTTCCTCCTGTTCCTCCTCCTCCTTCTCCTCCTCCTCCTCCTGTTTCTTCCTCCTCCTCCTCGTCCTCCTCCTCCTCCTTCCTCTGGGGAGGCCTCACGGCCACTTTTGCCGACCCTGACCCCGAAGGAAGATCGGGAGAAGACCTCGAGGGAGCCAGTGTGCTGCGCACGAAGGCAGGCCCCGACGAGTGTCCTATAGCACATCTCGGAGAGCACCGCCTGACGAAAGCAGAGGCGGAACACCGTTCCACCTCGTGATCGTTTTCTGATTCGTTGGTTTGCCGATCGGCGCGGGCCATCGTACCCCCCCCATGGAGTAGATCTTGGCTGTTTCTGGCGCCTGTTTTGAGCAGGTGGAGCTTCCCCCATTGGACACACTGCTGCAAACAGTCGCACTAAGCAGAGGTCCCGAGGTTGACCTTTCCCCCCTTTACGCCCAATGTCGAAACGGCGAATAAGAAAACGCTTTCCACCGTTCAACCTCTGACTCTGTCCCGTGGCCTCTGTCCTATCCCGCCACAGTGCTCGGGGTGGTAGGTCATATTCAGCGGAACGAAAAATGATATAAACATAAAAACGCGGAGGTCCGCCCGGATTTCTCGGATCCGCGCTGGACCCCCTTGGCGGCGCCTCCAGCGCCGCCTCTGGCGCGTTCCGCGCGCCAGGGAGGGGGGTCCAGCGCCGATCCGAGAAATCCGCGCAGACCTCAGAGTTTTTATGTTTATGCCATTCTTCGTTCCCCTAATATTGCCTACCGGTCGTTGAAAGTAGGAATCTCTGGACTCCCAGACCCCAACTTGCTTGAGGCGCCCACGGTGGTCCCTCTTTCCTCCTCTTCAGGGGGCGGGCGGAAGCCCGATCTATTTCCCTGCGCCTTTCTGGTTCATGTTTCGACCCATCTCTTCCCACCAGTGGGCATGTCGGGGCCAGGAATTTGTCCACGATGATATGTTCTGTCTGTCCACCACTTGAATGCCAAATGGCGGCCCACACACAGCGTACATGATTATTAGGCTTACGCCACACCGCCGACCCCTTTGTGTTTCTTGGGGGCTTCCTGGGGGTCCCTGGGGCACGTTGGGGGCGTCTTGGGGCGGACGGCTGGAATGTTCGTTTCGTCGTCCCCCTTTCGGGCCCCTCTTGGGGCCGTCTTGGAGCCCTTTTGGGTCGTTCTGGGCGCCTCTTGTGCCGTGTTAGGGGCTTCTTGGGAGCCTACGGAGCTGTCTTAAGGCGGTCTTGGGGGCATCTCGGAGGGTCTTCCGCGCTGTGAAGGCCGAAACTCCGTATATGCTAGACATGCCAGCTTTCCGAAGGGCATATGAAGGGTTTCGCCTCTTGTAGGCCTCCTGGGAGGCCTCTTGGAACGTCTTGGCGGCCTCTTGGGCCGTCTTCGGCCCATGTTAGGTGACTTCGAGCGATCTTTCGGCCCATGTTAGGCGTCTTGGAACTATCTTTCGGCGTCTCGGGGCCCTCTTGGACAGTCTTGGGGGCCTCTTGGGCGGCCCCAGAAGCTGTCGCGGACCTCCAAAAGGGGCCCGGGAAGGGCCGGACCCCAGCTCTGGCCGGACGGCCCCCCCCCCTCCAAATCGACTGGACCGGGCTCCGGGGAGAGGGGTTTGGGGAGGGGGAAGCATCTCGCTGTCCACGCCGCCGCGGCCTGTGTCCATTCGCGACAGAAGGCCGCCTGCCCAACAGCGGCCGCTGTTGGTTTGGGACAACATTTGTTGCTGGGCATTGTGCCCATTCTTTCCGTACCCAATTCGGGCGTCCAAAACAGGGGGCTCTGCTACAGTCGGGGCCCTGAAGAAGGAACCCTTTTCGTTGGGGAGGGGCTCGGTGTTCCTCAACTTTTGCAGTTCGCCTTGGGTTTTGCTTAGGGCTTCGATGGGAAATCGAAGCTCAACTCATGGAAACAAGGGGCCTCGTTCCTTAGTTAGGGTTCCTCAGGTCAACGCCCCGACTGTATCTGCGGGCCGCTTCTGAGAGCTACGAGACCTCGTGTGGAGCCTGGAGGGAACACACCAAGGCAATGGTACCGCAAGCGCAAACGCGGACGCCCGAAGCTACAGTGGGCGGCGTGTGTTTTCCCGTACGCTTTCTGATCACCCCTGCAATCTTCGCATGTAGAATTCGAAGAGTCATGAACTGCCGCTGCGCCGTTTGGGCGCCTGGCTTCCTGCTGCTGCTTCTGAGAGCTATGGGTCGGGGAGCCTGTCCGCGTCCGAGGCCCGCCGCGGCCCGGGGAACGCCGAGGCTCGCCGTGGCCCGGGCGGCCCCCTTCGCTCCGCTGCCTCGCGCGCGGCCCTCGCAGCACCAGGGGGGCTGCAGGGCTATCCGTGGGCAGGCGGCTCGGGTGGCCGCAGGCGCAAGGGCACCCCAGAGGGCGCGAGGTCATTCGCGCCTCGCGCCTCGCGCTTCGGCTCCGGTTCCTCCTCGCCCTCCTCTTCTCCCCTGGGGGGGCGGCGCGAGAGCGCGAAGCTCTTCGCACCTCGCGCCTCGCGCAGCGCGAGGCGCGAAGTTGGGAGCCCTTGGTTCCCTCGCGCGCGACCCTCGCAGCACCACGGGGGCTGCAGGGCTCCGTGGAGACGGAGCTCGGGTGGCCGGAGGTTCAGGAGGAGAAAGAAGCACACAGACACACTGAATCGTCGCTTCCCCAGAAAACGTAGGAAACTATGGGCAATGGGGGGGAAGACAGAAGCCCCGAAAATATTGGAAAATGTGGGAAAATATAGGAATATATGAGGGCTCCTCTTATTTGTGTTTATTCCTTTCTGTGCCCCAGGAGGGCCCCTTCCTCCGTGGAGAGGCGGCTCGGGCGGCCCGCGGTGGCGAGAGGTCGGCCCGGCGCGCCCGCGGGAGGGCGGCGGCCGCGCCAGGTCCTCGACCGGGGGAACAACGGCTACGTCTCGGGGGCGGAGTTCGTGGAGGCGTCGGGGGCGGAGGGCGGGCCGGTGTCAAGTCGGGCCTGTCCCTTCTACAGGATCCTGTAGAGGGACAGGCCAGAGGGACAGGCCATTTTTGACCGTTGTTGAATATCCTTCGAGGGATATTCAAAAACGGTCAAACATCAGAGGAGGAGAAGGTGCCCCTACCTCTACCCTTCGCGCTCGTTTTCCCCTTTTTGGGCCTCCTGGGCGGCCCTCGTCACCTCCGCTGGAGTCGCCTCGAAATTCTGGTCAGAACGCACCCCGGGAGAGGTCTGGGGGGTAGCGGTATCAGTACCCTTTGGTTTCCCCCAGAAACAATTAGGGGATGACTTTTTACTACTTTTGCCTATGTGGGGTGTATTTTTAGAGTGTGTTTAATGTTTCGCCCAAAATCCCCCTGTAGGGGGACACGCCCGACTTCGGGAAGGGGCTGTGGTGTGAGGGAGGGAGGGGCTCGCCATGAGGTAAAGCGGGGCCTGCAGGGGCCGACGTGTGGCCGCCGCCCCCGCGAGTGCCTCGCGCCAGGCCAGCTTCCGTTTGTGGGGGGCGGCGTGCAAGAATCGTGTCCCCAGGCGGGGTCGTTCTTGTGCACACAGCCCCCGCTCCACGGTCACGCTGGTATGGCGAGGGCGAGGTGCAACAGTCGTGTCCCTTTCTGGCGGGAGCGGTTCCTGCGGCGCTTCGCCGTGTTCTGGCCCTCGGGGGCCGTCCACGGTCCTCGGGACTGTCGGGAGCCGTCCCGGGCTGGAAAGTTGGTTTGTCCTAGGCAACGCCCCCGAAAGCACGGGCATGAGCACGAGCTCTTCGCAGGCCCGCACGGAGTTGGTTTGGCGTCGGGCCCCCCTGGCGGCGCCCCCGGCGACCCTGGAGCCTCGCGGACCCTTGAAAGCTGTGTTCAATAATGTTTCGTATCCATGTCCTCTGTTGGTCTCTCTCTGTCTCTGTCTTCCTCTCGTTCGCTTGTCCCTTGTCTCACCGTCGTCAATTGTCATGCATGGCGGCGCCCCGGCGCCCACCTGCAGCGCCCCCGCGGCGCCTCGACTGCAGGCCGATGTCCGATGTCCGATGTCCGATGTGTGCCAGTCGATGAATCACATGCGAGGGATGGTTAAGGAACAACAGCCGACGACACACACGGTTGCCGATTGCACTGCAAGAGTGAAAGGCAAACATGAGCGCAACGATGACGGAGACGGCGATGGCGACGAGGCACATGTGAGGTGTCTCCCGTCTGAATGTGCCAAAGAGGCGCACAGAAGTACATGAGAGCGCCAGGGAAGGTTTGCCACATCGTTGCTCCGCCCGCGATTGTCCACATATATTTTCAGGTTTTCGTGGCTCACAGGGAGTAGTTCTGGAACGCTGTGATGGGAAGGATCGTCATACCCTCTCCATAGCCATGCTTGGGTGGGGAAGGTGCCGAGATGGTACAGAAGAAAGTGCAGGCAGCGCGATGCATTGTCAGAGCTGCCCCAAACTTCTAAGTTCCTCGAGGTCCGCAGTGGTTTGTGTCCTTCGCCGATTGGGGTCGCATCCAGGACTCCCCACAGGTCAGACGACCTACCAGCACATTGGCATTCCTCCCCGATGCTCTCCCCCTTTCATCCAAACGACACTCCGACACCCACGCCGGCCAGGCCCATCTCGGCCAACAGCTGTTCCGCGCTGCGTGCGCCAAAAGTGAGGACGGGCAGCTCGCGCGTCAGTGTCGGGTTGCCGGTTGCCGCTGCCAAGGCCGTCGGCACCGCTGCTTTGGAAGCCCGAAATGGCTACGAAAAGAATGGGTACAATGCTCAACAACAAATGCTGTCCCAAATCAACAGCGGCCGCTGTTGGGCAGGTGGCCTTCTGTCCCAAACGGACACACGCCGCGGCCACACAGACAGCGAGTCCTGTTCAGAATGAACAGGAGCTGCTGTTGGGCATTGTACCCATTCTTTCCGTACCCATTTTCACCACCCACCAACCCACCCCAACCCAACCCGAAGGCCCCGATTTGCCATCCATTTCCAGTCGGGGGGGGGGGGTCGGAGAACATAGAAAAAACACGCGTGGAACCCGTACCCCCCCCCAACCCGAAATTCGGGTCTTCGGGTTGAGTTGGGGTGGTCTGGTAGGTAGTCAGTTTCGGTCGTCCAGAGTTGCTGTCGCGCGCGCGCAGTGGCGCGGACAGTCAGACAGGGCCGTTCTCAGCTCGCCTCGCCCTTCGGCGGCGAGCGAGGGGCCGAGCTGCTTGCTCTTCCCCCCCCCTCGCTCGCCGCCCAGCTGCCCAGAGGCCTCGCACCCGCCCCGGGGGCCTCCCCCTCCTCCTCCTCCTTCTCCTCCTCCTCCTTCCCCCCCCTCCTCCTCCTCCTCCGTAGCCATTTTGGCTCAAGCCGCATGGGCTCGAGCACCAAGACCACACGCCCCCGTGCGCGTGGCATCTTGCTCTTGCCCAGCCCTGCGCCGCCACGTGGTGCTTGGGGGGAGTCGAACCCGCCGTCCTTGAGGACCTGCACATCCTCAGAGGATAGCTGTTTTCGGCTGCGAAAGCAGGGCCATGTCAGGATCGGGACCTCGCCTGTGGAGTAAGTGCGCAAAGTGCGGGACGACCGAGTGGAATGACATTTTGTCTACTCGTAACAATCAGTGTAGCAAGTGCAGGTGCCCAGTCAAGGTCTTCAAGGCCAAACCCAAGAAGGATGGTTCAGCAGACGGCAGCCAGGACAATTCTTTGGTGCACGCCAACGGCAGCAAGGGCGACAGCAGTGCGTCCAGAGCAGCAGCGAGTGGCGCCGTCCCTGACGACAACCAACGCATGTTCAGCATGCTCACGCAGTTATTGGCCGACGCCAAGGACATGAGCACGAAGAAGGTTCTCTTAGAGCAGATGGCAGCGCTGCGCAGCTCTCCCTCTCCGAAGCCTGTTTCCACTGAGGAGTCGGTGAAGCGCGCGGACAGTGCTCTTCGAGACGCTCATGCCAAGCACGACCAAGCTGTTCATCAAGTGCTCAAGTTGCGTGACAACTTACACAAGGCAGAGACCAAAGAGGCCGAGGCCGCAGTCATTTTGGCACGCGCCGAAGCCGCCAAGAAGTTAGCGATCACCACGCTGGCCAAGGAGTCAGGGGTGCTCGCTGGGGATTCGCTCTCGTCCAGTCAGGCGGACCTCAAGTCCAACTTGTTCGATTTGCAGTGGGATGAGGAGTTCTTCAGTCGGCTCGACGAGTATGATTGTGAGGAATCAGAACGCATTGAGTTACGCAAGCTAGAGAGCGAGCTGCAGCAGGCACGTTCCAACCTCAGCGAGCGCAACACTAAGATCACGGAGTGGAAGAATCGCATGGAGCAGCTCAAGCAGACTTTCAACGACCGCATGGGGAAGAAACGCAAGGGGGTCGATGGCACGGCCGAGGCGAGCGGTGGCAGCAGCGACGGCGCCAGCGCAGGGGCCAGCGCCCCCCCTGCGCCACCCGCGGCCGCGACAGCCCCTACGGGTGGCGCAGCAGCGGCCGCGGGACCGCCAGTCGCCGCCACCGCTACGCCAGCCCCCGACGAGACGGCCATCGTCAACGAGGCGAAGCGCATCTCCGAAGCCAAGTTCAAGGCCGCGGAGCTTGCCAAGCAGCAGAAGGAGGCCGTGTCGCAGGAGAGTGTCTCGGGCGGAGCGTGAGCCTCCGCCAGTCGAGCCCAGTCTGCAGCTTCGACAACGGCTTCATCATCAAGTCAGACATTCACTGGTATGTGCACACCCGCGTCTCAGGCGCTGTCTCCTCGGGGTTCAGCTGGGGGAGACGCTGGTGAGCATGGGGACAGTGGCCCTACGTCGACCTCGGCGGCTTCATTGTCATCAAGTGAGGGCGCTCCAGGAGCGCCTTGCGAGTGTGACGAGCCGTCACCTTTTAGTTCAATGTTGTTCGGCATCGTTTCTTGCTGGGGCGAGCAAGCGTGGAACTTCCTACGGTCGCGCCCCGCCAGAGAGGCGCATCACTACATGGCTATCGCGGAGACTCATATCTTCGCCAGCCAGCAAGATAGATGGCAAGGCAAGATTCGCGCTAGTAAGTTTAAGTCTTTTTTTCAACCCCGCTCGGCCCAAGGACCATCAGCACGAGTCCAGGGGTGCCCGCGGAGAGGGGGGTGAACTGTTTTTGGCCCAGGGTCACAGGCAGGTGCGTTCGCTCGGCAGTCCTTCTGAGTTTCCTGAGCTTTGTTCTGGCAGTGATTCGTTTGACGGCTTCGTCCCCGTCGTCATTCATTTTAGTGGCTATTCCCTTGTAGTTATTACCTACTACGGCCTTTCTTCCCTCGGTTTCCACGGGGATAACGCCAGGCGGCTCTCTCGGGTTGGGGCCCTTGTTGCCACCTTGCAGCTTCCGTGGATTCTCATAGGGGATTTCAACACGTCGCCGCTAGAGCTCGCCAAGTGCGGGTTTATAGAGAAAGTAGGTGCGTATGTTTTTGTTTCGGATATAGAACACACTTGCGTTGCAGGCTCGGGCAGATCACATATAGATTTCATGTTGGCTTCTAAGCCGGCTTGCCCTTGCGTCCTCGGCCTCTCCCCCATCCTCGACGTGCCTTGGGGCGCGCATTGTGGGCTCAGTGTCAGGTTGCGTAGTCAAGGCATGCAGCTTATCACTAGGTCCCTCATGCTCCCTCGTAAGTTGCCTCAGGTCGTCCGCCCTTCGGTCGCCCCTCAGGCTGGGAGCAAATCGCAGTTGGCCAAGAAGTCTAAACAAGAACGCCGCGCCGCTTCCAAGGCCAAATTTGACGAAGCGTGCCACAAGTTTTTTGGGGATCTTCTCGGGCCCTCCCAGGTGCAGGTGGATGAGGAGTGCGGTAACAGCCCCGAGGACCCCACTGACCCTTTTAACTCTCAGGCTCTGGCAGATTGGGACGAAGAGCCTGATCCCTGGGCCCAAGACGTTCAATGGTCTACTAGTGCTTCTGCTGTGCAGCCACCACTCGCGCATGATGAAAATCCAGGGCCCCCACCTAGTGGCACCGACCTGTTTTTGGAGGCTGAGGGGAGGTCCCAGGGCACCGAGCCTGTTGACAGTTCCCCCTCCTTCTCCATCCCCCCTCATGTGTGGCAGCAGCAGCGGCACGAAGTTGGCTACACGCATCAAGTTGCTCACGATGTCTGGCCTGTTGTTCGGGATTCGGGTGCATATCACATCGGAGGGCCACACATTCTACACATCAGCGGGCTTTACGCGTCTTGGGTCAAGTCTGTCGAAAAATCTGTTCTGGCTCATCATGGGGGAGAGTTACAGGAAGGCGCATCACGTGCTGTCGGTCCGCATCTAGTCCAGCATGTCGTGCACAAAGCTGAGCATCTTCGTGAGGCGCCTATCTCCGATTATGTTGCAGCATGGCGGTGCCGCTTGCACACGGTCCTTTTGAGATGTTTTCGGCACCGTTCGCGACAGAATGGTCTGCAGCAGATTGCCTTACTCGCCTCAGTCGCTCTGCGTTTAGTCAATGATATACCTGAAGGGGCTCATTCCATCCTTATTCATGGTAAGCATAAGTTTTCTTGGGAGCGTTGGTTGCATTACCTACAGGATATCAGCACTATTGATATTAATATACTTGAAGACATGCATGTACAAGCCAGCAAGATATCACAACGTGCCAAGCGTAGGGCTGTTCAGGCCTCTCTTCGGGACTTCCAGGACTGGATCGTCCAAGAGTCCGCGATGGGCGCCGTGCATCGCTCCCTGCGTGCCGCACCTCAGGCTTCCGACGAGCTGTGCGTGGATGGCAAGCGTCTCTCCCACCCGTCGGACATCGTAGATGCCAAAGTGAAGCAGTATCACTCTCTATGGGCTCCAGAGGAGTTCAACTTCGGAGAGGCTCAGGAGGTTTTTGAAGTCGTCAGGCCCGCTGCTCAAGTTGAAGATCTGGTTCCCCTTTCTGTTCCTCAGCTCCGCGGGGCCCTTAAGAAGATGAAGACCAAGGCTGGACTCGGAGTCGATAGGCTCACGCCCATCGACTTCGAGAGGCTCCCTGACAGCGCTCTGGAAGAACTCCCTGGCATCTACGAGGCCATCGAGGCTTCTGGTTCCTGGCCGTGGCAGATACTTGTATGCCTGGGGAGGCTCCTCCCCAAGAAGTCTTCGGGCGACAGGGTCATCGGTATCCTCCCTATGTTTTGTAGGCTCTGGAGCCTCGCTCGGGACGATCTCTCCAAGCAGTGGTCCAGGGACACCGTCCCCGAGTGGGACGCCGCCATCGAAGGGAATTCCCCTCTGGTTGAAGCTTTTATGAGGATTCTCGACGCCGAAGTCGCCCACAAACTAGGTGCTACCTATGCTCATGGCGTGGTCGATATTAAGTCCTTCTACGACACTATCAAGTGGAGTAAACTAGTTCAGGCAGCTCTTCGTCTCGGGTTTCCCCCTGTTTTGCTTGCTCTTGAGCTTCAAAGTTGTATGTCTGCCCGCGTTCTTTCTCAGCTGGGCGCACATCCTCTCGGCTTTCAACCCACTCAGAGTATCATTCAGGGTTGTCGTAACGGCACCAGGTTTGGAAGATGTTTGACGTATTTCATCCTTGAAACCGTGACGACGATGCACCCTAGAATGAGTGAGCGGATATGGGTTGACGATCTGTACATGTCCACCGTCGCCTCTAAGAAGCAGGCCGAGCTTTCTCCCACCGAAGGCATTGCCGATCTAGATATTCTGTTTAAAGATCAGGAGCTCACCATGGCGTCCAAGTCGGCCGTCCTGAGCTCTGACCACCAGGTGGCCAAGCGTACGGTCCGCAATTTGAAGTCTCGTGGGGTCCATCTGGCAGCCGTTCTGCAGGCACCCTACTTAGGCATCGATGGCGGTGCTGGCAGACGTCAAGCGCGTGCCACTCGGAGGCAGAGAGTGGTCAAGGCTACTAAGCAGAATCATAAGCTACGTCGTTTTGCACACGTTTCTAAGAGGTATGTTGTCACCAAGAAAGTCGAACTTGCAGGTCCCCAAGCTGGTGCCACCTATGGGGCTCAAGTCTATGGAGTTTTTGGGTCTCATCTTCTGGGGCCCCGCCGTCGTCTTGCATCTGTGGTTGGGGCCAACAAACGGGGCCGCTGTATTACTTCGGTTCTGGATATTCGGTCTCCAGGTCAAGACCCAGGGGTGCGTGTGCCAGCCAGTTGTTTGCGGCAGTGGTTACATGCCTGGATCTTTTTCCCGTCTTGTCGCGCTGGTAGCAGGAGAGTCTGGCCCTTGATTTATCAGCACATGCAGCAGTTGAGTCCGCACGTGCGCACGCGTCACATTCGTGGTCCTGTTTCTGCCCTCATACATCAGCTCATGCTTGTGGGGTGGGATCCAGTCTCTCCTGATCAATGGCATGGGCCATCGAGCGACGGCACGCCAGATTTCACATGGAATTTCAATACTGCTCAGCTGGTCGGTCTTGACCAGACGCGAGGCATGATGCAAGAGTTTGTAGATGCTCTTCAGACTCGCCAATGGCAACAAGCTGCCAATCACTTTTGCGGCGCAGGTTTGGAGGACGGCGCCGACAATCGCAGTCTTCGGTTTCTGCTGCGACAGCTCCAAGATGCTCCACGGGGGCGACAACTCGCGGAGCTATTGCTTAGCATAACAGTAGGAGGCTCGTGGTTGCAGGCCAGGAAGAAAGGTGAAGGTCTTTCAGATTCGGATTTATGTCCACGGTGTCGTGACAATGCTGAAACCCCTCTTCATCGCTATTGGCTTTGTCCGAAGAACTGCAACCACGAGGCATACAGTCAGTCCGAGGGCCTCATTCCTGAGGCGATGTCCCAGGGAGAGGCCCATGCTTGCTTCTGGTTCAGGGGGATCATCCCTCGGCAGTGGACCTCGGTCGACCCCCCCACTAGCAGTGAGCTTTGGTCCGTCACTGGGATTGGGGCCCTCGGGGAAGGTAGTTTGGGCACTGGGACCTTACAGGATCCAGTTTATGTATGTGGTGATGCCTCTGGAGGCCCAGATGGTCGAGACCCTCGGCTGCGACGTGTGGCCCTCGCCATTGTCAGAGTTGACGGTTTCACTCCTTTCAGCGCTACCACCTCTGTCTCTGGCCCTCTCCCTGGTTCCCCTCAAACTGTTCCCCGAGGTGAGTTATATGCGTTCATTATCACGTTACGGTTTACTCGAGGTGTCGTCGTCTACGTTTAAGACAACGAAGAAGTCGTCCGCGGGTTTTGGGATAAGAAGTGGCTCCGACCACAAGGAGAGATGGCAGATCTATGGCGCCTAGTAGGTGAGCTCATGGCCCAACGTGTCCATGAGCATGTTGCAGTGCTGCAGGTTCCTTCTCATCTCAGTCCTCACGAAATCCTTCGGAGGCGGGTTCAAGGGTGGATGGTCTCGGGCAATACTATTGCAGATTTTCTCGCAGGTGAGATGGCTCTTCGTTTCAGAGTTCCTGAAGTTCAGAGGTTCCAAGTTCACGACGTTGAGAGAAAAGCAGCTCTTATCAGAAAGCGTTTGATGAGGTCTACGCTGGAGGCGATCGAGGCTGACCGCTGCAGGCAGACTGAAACACGGCGTTCTGAGCGTGCTGCTGCTGCTGCTGCACCCGTTCCCTCTCCCCCTCCCCCGCCTCCTCCCCCGCCGCCGCCCTCGCCCGCTGCGCTGGCCCTTTTCGGGTCCAAGCACCAGCTGGCCGACGACGGGCAGTCCTGCCAGAAGTGCTACGGCAGGTGCACTAAGGCGGGCCGCACCCGCTGGCTAGGCACACCGTGCCACCCTCTTTTGCCTGCCTCGGGGGACTTCCTTCAGCCTCCCCCCCAGAGTCGAGTGCACATAGGTGGAGGAGTGGTTTTCCCTGGACATAGGATGAGGTTTCATACCATTCAGCGTGTTTGGATATGTTTCGAGTGTGGTGCCATCGGCCAGCAACAGTTGCGGGCCTTGGGCGCACCTTGTAATCCCAGATCTATAGCCAAGAAGAGGCGGGAGTACCTGAGTCGCCTCCAGCGCGATCTGGCTCCCAGGTAGTGTGGTCTTGTCGATATTGCTTCGCAATCGTTCCGAATCCGAATCCAAACCCCTCCTCCTCCTCCTCCTCCTCCTCCTCCTCCTCCTCCTCCTCCTCCGCCTCCTCCTCCTCCTCCTCGCTCCTCCTCGCTCCTCCCCCTCCTCCTCCTCCCTCCTCCCGTCCTCCACGTTGGGGCCTGCCTGCCAAGTGGGAGTCTTCTTGCCCGGGGGCCTCCAGGAGGCCCCCTTCCGATGCCCGCAGGGCCTGGGCCGACGTCGGGACGCGCAGCGCGAACTGTCGGCGTGGGCCTTCCTCCGCCCACCTCACTGGCCGACGGCCTGGCACCCTCCCGGGGGTCTCCTGGAGACCCCCTCTGACAGCAAGTCGGGCATGTCCCTCTACAGGAGGAGCAGTCAAAACATGGTCAAATAATAGTATGGGGACGATGTTCTGTGATTCTCTGACTCTTGCCTGACTAGGATTCCCTTCTCTGCCAGAATCCGCCTGTAGGAGGACACGCCCCGACCTGACTCGAACACCCGCAGGGTTCTGCCGAAGGCGGGTCGCCTGCCCCCCTCCCCCCCCTGCGCGCCCCGCCGCGGCAGGCGCTGTCCAGGGACATCCTCTGCAGCTTCGGCTTCTCGGAGGCGGACCTCGCCGAGCTGGACCGCGAGGGCCCTCCCCCCCTCCTCCTCCTCCTCCTCCTCCTCCTCCTCCTCCTCCTCCTCCTCCCTCCTCCTCCTCCTCCTCCCTCCTCCTCCTCCTCCTCCTCCCCTCCTCCTCCTCCTCCTCCTCCTCCTCTCCTCCTCCTCCTCCTCCTCCTCCTCCTCCTCCTCCTCCTCCTCCTCCTCCCCTCCTCCTCCTCCTCCTCCTCCTCCTCCTCCTCCCTCCTCCTCCTCCTCCTCCTCCTCCTCCTCCTCCTCCTCCTCCTCCTCCTCCTCCTCCTCCTCCTCCTCCTCCTCCCCCTCCTCCTCTCCTCCTCCTCCTCCTCCTCCTCCTCCTCCTCCTCCTCCTCCTCCTCCTCCTCCTCCTGGACCGCGAGGGGCGGGGATAGGGAGGGGCGGCGGCTCGGAGAGGGCGCCACCCGCACAGAGGCCCGGCCTGGAACCCCAGGACGGGTGCAGAGATCCCCCGGGGGCGCCCCCCGAGGGCGCGACGTTCTTCGCGCTTCGCGGTTAGGCTACGATTCCTCCTCCTCCTCCTCCTCCTCCTCTTCGCCCATGGGGGCGCCCCTTGAGGGCGCAACGTTCTTCGCGCGTCGCGCTTCGCGGTTCGGCTCCGATTCCTCCTCCTCTTCGCCCCTGGGCGCCCCCCTCGAGGGCGCGAAGTTCTTCGCGCTTCGCGGTTCGGCTCCGATTCCTCCTCCTCTTCTCCCTTAGGGGGCGCCCCTTGAGGGCGCAACGTTCCTCGCGCGTCGCGCTGCGCGGTTCGGCTCCGATTCCTCCTCCTCTTCTCCCTTAGGGGGCGGCCTCGAGGGCGCGAAGTTCCTCGCGCTCCGCGCTGCGCGGTTCGGCTCCGATTCCTCCTCCTCCTCTCTCTTAGGGGGCGGCCTCGAAGGTGCGAAGTTCCTCGCGCTCCGCGCTGCGCGGTTCGGCTCGAAGTGGAGCGCCCTTGGTGCACAGCCCGTCCAGGCCCCAAGCCAGAGGGGGCAGGGGGCAGGAGGGGCAGAAGATGAACAGGTGCCCATACCTCTACTTGTTTTTCGTTCTCCCCCTTTCTATGTCGGGGGTGGACAGACCTCCTACCACGGCGCGTCGATTAGTGATTTGTCAGTGGGCGCCGCGGCCGTTATTTTTCAGACGTGCGCCCTCCAGGTTTGGGCCCGAGGTCGTTTTCACGAAACCACGTTTTGCTAAAAAGAGGGTTTTGTCCATCCCCGATTGTGGGCCTCCTCGGAGGCCCTCGTCTCCACCGCTGGATTCGCGTCGAAATTCTTGTCAGAACGCACGCAGGGAGAGAGGTCCAGGGAGTAGCGGTATCGGCACCTTTTTTGGTTCCCCAGAGGGGGGGCGGCAGTGGCAGCAGCAGCAGCGTCGTCGGGAGGGCGGCGTCAAACGACGCGAAGATCGGGACAAAATCGGATCGGGATAACTCGAAATCTCTGAGAATCGGCGGGTTTGGAGGATGTATTGGGCGCCGCGGCCGCTCCAGAGCGTTCCGGAACGCTCTGAGAGCGCTCCGGAACGCTCTGGAGCGATTTATCCCGATCCTAGCCCTGTTTTACGGCGGAGGTTGCGTCTCTTTCTTCCCCACGCGCACGCGCAGGCTCGGAAGAGATCCCGTGAGTGCCGCCAGGGCCGTCGCGTCGGATGGCGCGGCGCAAGTCCGTGGAGACGTGCAGTGGCGACGCGTTCCGACGCTGACAGTCTCGACGAGGATCTGCTACGGTCATGAGCTCGACGGTCTCGACGCGAAATCTTCGGTGGGCTCGACGAGGATCGCTATTCCAGATTTCGTAATAAAAGGGAGGGGGTCTGGACCCTCCAAGACAAGCCATTTCAGACCCCCCCCCCGTGGGAGAACCCTCCAAATCATCGTCCCCAGACCCCCCGGGCCCTCCAAGATAGCCTGGAAGAGACCCCCCCCCGAAATGAGACCCCCCTCCCTTTATTACGAAATCTGGAGTACGGTCATGAGCTGCGAGTGGCGAAGGCGTCACGTGCAGGTGCTCGCGTGCACGCGACTTCGTCATCGGGTGCCCGTCGCAGCCTCGTGACCTCCACCTGATGGGCTTAGGCCACTGGTATCTCGCACGCCAGGGTTGTGGCCAGAGCTTCCACTCGGACGCAGAACCCATGAGCCAAATCAGCTCGGCCCACAGTCCATTTACATTGCGTCGTAAAAGGCAAACTGGTAGCCGCCCGGCCCCCTAAATATCGGTGGTTGGTCGACCTCCTACCCTGACGCGTCGATCAGTGAATTGGCCGGTTCCGGTTCGCGAGAGGGCGTCGCGGCCCTCATTTTTGCGGGTCCAGGTCCGTCGGTTTCGGTCCTGGGCCGTTTTCAAGAAAGGGTGTTTTTTTTTAAGGGAGGTTTGTCCACCGCCGATTCTCATTTCAACACGTTCCCTGGCCCCCCTGGCCCGCGCACGTGCCCGGGGCCATGCTCTGCACGCCCCCCTCTCGGGCGCCCCCCTCTTGGACGCCCCCGAGATGGGATCACAAGGGGAGGGCTTCCCCGGACAAGCCTGGACTCGAGCGGGTGCCCAGAGGGCACGGCGGCGTGTGCAGGATGATTGATGATGATGATGATGATGATGATGATGATGATGATGATGATGATGATGATGATGATGATGATGATGATGATGGTGATGATGATGCTGATGCTGATGCTGATGCTGATGCTGATGCTGATGCTGATGCTGATGCTGATGCTGATGCTGATGCTGATGCTGATGCTGATGATGATGATGATGATGATGATGAGGAGGAGGAGGAGGAGGAGGAGGTTTGTCCACCGCCTGGTGGTTTACTAAAGGGTGGTTGACTAAAGGGCAAGAGGGGCGCGGGGTTCGCCAAGGCTTCGCCCCCCTTTCCCCACCTTCTCGGGCCGATGCCCAGCCTTTTTTGCTGCGGCCCTCGTCGTGCGTCTTGGTTGTGGGGGCCACAGGCGGGCTGCACAGGCTGCGGGCATTCTGTTGTATTGTGTCCAAGGCATCTGACACGTTTCTGGGGGAGGGGTGCTCTTATCTCAAACGTGGATGAAACATGTTGCCTCGATGGAGGCCAGCTCTTATCAATATCCATTGCGCCCCAGGTTCCCAGGGAAGGGGGTCCGAGAATCCGCGACGCAGTGGCGCTGCGAGCACATCGTGCACAGGTCGGGAGCGGCCAAGGGTGGGGTGAAGACCAGGGGCGGATATTATGGCCCGGGCCTCGATACCTCCCCCCTATGTCATGGCCCCCTCTTCTTCCTTCGCTGCACCCCCTCCCCCACCCCCCCCTGGGCCACGCACTTGCCGCGTGCCACGATCTGCCACCCCCCCTCTCGGACGCCCTCCTCGTGGACGCCCCCCTCTTGGACGCCCCCCCGATATCGTGGCCCTCTCTTTTCCCTTCGCTGCCCCCCTCCCCCTCTGGGCCACGCTCAAGCAATTTGGGCTCGAGCAACTTGGGCCCCCCAAGTTGCTCAGTCCAGCCCCTCGCCTTCACGTCGGCGCTTGGGGGGCCCGAGGCGGAAGTCCACGCCTAGGACCTTTCTTCTCGGTGGCGAAGAGGGGAAATCATTCTTCAGGAAGCCATGTCCAGGGCCACATCCACTCCATGGTCTACCTGCAAAGCCTGTGGACGCAGCGAGTGGAACTCTATTCTCTTGGAGCGTGATCGCAGGTGCCAGAAGTGCGGACGCCAGGTCAAACTCTACCAGGGAAAGAAAAGTGGTGGCAGTTACAAAGATAGGTGCTCCGATGTTGATAACATGCAGTTGGTTCTGGCAGGGGGAGGTGGCACCATGCAAACAGTTGTCTCGTCCAGGGCGTCCGCACTAGAGAGCGCCCTGGCAGTGGCGACTGACCCGATGATCAAGTAGGCCCTGTCCAGCCAGATCCAGGTCCTCAAGAACGAGATGCGGGCCGTCGAGGCCAGCTCATCGCCTGAGGATGCAGCTAAGAAAGCAGACAGTGCAGTCAGAGACGCGACTACCAAGCACGACCAGGCCTTCCATGCCTTGCTGCGCGCCAGAGAGAACTTGGTGCGCGCTGAGGCTAAGGAGGCAGAGTTGGCCATCACGCTTGCCACGGCGCAGGAGTCCAAGAGGCTCGCCGTGCTGGCCCTCGCGTCCAAGGCCGGTGTCATTCCTCAGGACAAGCCCGCCGAGCAGAAGGACAGTGACACGTTGTTCAGTCTCTTCTGGGACGAGGACTTCTTTGCGAAGATCGACACCTTGGAAGCGGAGGCCAGCGAGAAAGAAGTTTTGCGGAAGCTCGAAGGTGACCTCAAGGCAGCTCGAGCGCAATTGAACACGAAGAATTCCGAGGTGGTCTCCTGGCTCACTCGCGCGAAGGAGCTGCAGCAGCAGATCGAGACCAGGTACATGAAGAAGAGGAAGGGAGCTGATGGTGAAGCTCAGGGAGCTGGTGCTGCTGACAAGGGGAGCGGCAAGGGCACCCAGGGCACCACCGACGGCAGCAGCAGCAGCGGGCACAGTGGTGGCCCCCCTGCCGAGGACAAGGCAGCCCAGGCGGTGAGGATCAAGGAGGCGGCCATGAAGATCACGGCGGCCAAGCAGGCGGCGGCTGAGGCGGCGGCGCAGGCGGCGACGCAAGCGGGGCCCCCAGCCGCCAAGGCGGCGGCGTGACCGCCGCAGAGGGGCCCCGCAGGAGGCGCCGCTGCGGGACGAACGCCGTCAACAGGCCCAAGGGGACCAGCATCTGGGTGTGCGCAGTCAGGTGCTGATGGTGATGAGGAAGAGCTGGCCACTGCATCCAAGAGTGGCATAGATAGCTTTTTCTTCTTCGGCAATGTCACTACTATGGGTCGGCAGGCATGGGGCTTCTTGTCAGGTCCAGCTTGCAGGCCATTTCACTATTTCGGGATCGCTGAGACCCCCGTTGAGAATATGAAGGACGCGCAGCATTGGCGAGAGCAGGCAGAGAAGCATCAGTTTAAGCTTATCATCAATCGAGCCCGAGCCACAGGGCGGGAGCAGTCGGAGAATACTCAGA